AAGGGGGTTGGTGTGCTGGGCACAGCTGGTGTGCAGAGTTTAGCATTAAAAATGCAGTGGCAGGCATGACAGCAACAACCTTTAATATCGCCTGAGCTCTATGAAAAGTTTCCATGCTTCTGCCAGGATCCTACAGTGAAGCCCATGGGACTTGGCCCAGATGGGAAGTGGAAGGTGGATCTCCTCAGGTGGTGAGCTAAGCTGAAATAGCTAGGCTGAAGGATCAGCCCCTTGAGAGCAGACCTGGCGAGCAAGAAAGAATGTGAGAGGTTTGTCTTGTAGCTTCCTGCCAAGAACTGGCATGGCTGTAAACACAAGTGTAGAACAATAAGGTCTCCTGTCCCAGCAGCTGCTAAAGCTGTCACCTGGGAAGCTTCCTGCAATCAGCCACTGGAAGGACAAAAAGGAGCTCCCACATGCTTTCCTGCAATTTGTAATATGTCTGATCTCTGCTCTGCTCAGTCTCTATCATCCTCCCTTCCCCCAGAGCCCTGTCTCACGCTCCAATAAGAGGATGTGGTTATGGAGGCCAACCTCTGGTGAGGAGGAGCAGTCTCATTGTTCAGCCTTGCTTCTCCAAGCAGCAAGAAGTGCTTTTCTTTATGATTTCTGAGTCACCCTATAGCTTCTCCACAGAAAGTATTTCCCCTGGGCTGGTTCTGCAGGCACCGGGTGAACTTCCCTGGTGCCTCAGAGAGTTCCACAGCACTCTGCAGATCCTCTCTGCCTGCCACGTGTTACAGCTTCAGGGCTTACAGTGACCAGAGTTGGCACAATGCTGCCACCGGCTTCTTTTTCAGACCACTGCACCTTTCCAAGGCGTTAATCTCTGGGTCTGAACAGTGCCGTGCTGGATCTCTCCTCCCGGGTATTTTTAGAAAGTTTGAGCTCAGACCATACAGTCACTCCTGAGCTATGCCAGGATGAAAAGAAAACAACCACTTCTGCCTGAACAATACCAGCGTGGAACAAAAAGCCACTGTAAGAGGGGTTTTTCGGCATCACTCAAAACTAGCCAAGCTTTGAAAGACGAAACTCGCAGTCAAAAAAAAAAAAAAAAAAAAAAGGAAAGAAAAAGGTTCCTGGTGAACAAGAGAACAGAAAGGGCTTTGACAGTTTACTTAAAAAGCCAGATTAAAGCAAAATGATGTTATATAAATACATGGGCATGCTGGAGCTTGCATGTAGTACAGCACTCCATCTCCATCCCTGCCACTGCCCTGGCCAGACCCAGGGCTGGGTTTGTCACCTGCTGCTGCCCATGGCGCGGCCCCGCCACCGGCAAGGAAAGGAGCCGAGCGGTCCCTGCGGCTACGGGCCCTGCGGGGAAGTGTTATTGGCTCATGATGGAGCCAGAAAGCAACCTCGGGGGATGCAGATCCTCTCCTTCCTGAGGCCATGAAGCAACGAGTGCAGAGCCGGGTGGGAAAAACACCCTCTCGCTGCCAGCTGTGTGAGACCGGCATGGAGGAGCGAGAGCCACGCGGGTGACCGGAGGTCACCATCTCTGGAAAACACCGAAATCTCTGGTGCATTTTGTACCCTCTGGATGACTTGAAGTCAGTGTTTCTGAGGGCTCTCACTGAAAAATTTCCTGTTTTTCAGGAAATTGCTCAACCACTTGTCCTCTCCTAGGAGAGATGATGCTAGGGAGCCTTTAGCGGCAGAGGATGAGAAGTGTGTAGTAGCTGAGAAGGGTACTGGGAGCTCAGCCTTCCCTTGGGTGGGAGAGCCAGCAGGCTGGCTCCTGTCCTCTTCTGTCAGCAGCTACAGCTGCTGGGGACATCTGTGAGACCCAGAAGCTCCTGGCACTCTCCACAACAGACAACAAGAGTATGTGAATGGATAAACACGTATATAGATGTACAGGGACCTTACTTCACAGAAGCTGCACGCCATGGAGAAAACCCATAAATTTTAGTGCATTTTTATTGTGACTATTTGGATTATGAGGGCCTAGGAAGTCAATGCAAGCAGATGGGAAGTTGGGTGCTGCCCTGTTGCCTGCAGCTGCCAGCTGTCCTTCACCCACATAACATGAGCAGCTCCAGTGTCCCCCTCTAGCCTCTCCTTATAGGATCAGTTCCCTTCTCTCTATACCCATCAGGGACCCTTTGCCACCAGGAAGGCAGCCACAGGGTTTCTCCTCCCTCCGTTCCCACTGGGCTGTGGGCTGACACATTTTCTCCCTGGAGGACCCCATTTTCCACCCATTTGGCTCCTCTGGGTGTAAGAAATTTGGGGTTTCCCCTGCTGCTCCTGCCTCCATCCTTCCCTGGGTGGTAGGATGCACACTGAGGAAGAAAGCAACCAGGCATGGCTCAGCACAGCAGCCCCATCAGACACCACATCCAGCCTCTGGCTACCACTCATCCTGAGAGTTGCAATCTTTGGTTTTTGCCTGAAAAAGGTTTTTTCAGGAAAAGTGTTGCTGAAATTAGAGAGTTGCAGAGGCTGAGAAACCACAAAGCTCACAAGTGCACCCCATGTCCTTGACAAGGGTGGCAGGACACCACCCATGTGTGGTGATGGACTTTGGCCTTGGTTTTGACTGTAAATGGGTTAATTTTCTTCCTAGTAGCCAGTACAGTGCTGTGTATTGGATTTGGTATGAGAATAATGTTGATAACATGCCAGTGTCGTAGTTGTTGCTAAGTAGTACTTACTTTAAATCAATAACTTTTCAGTTTGCTGTACTCTGACAGTGAAGAGCTGCACAAGACACCGTGAGGGAGCATGGCCAGCACAGCTGATCCGAAATGGCCAAGGAGATATTCCATGTCATAGAACACCATGCCCAATATATAAACTGGGAAGTTACCTGGAAGGGGCCAATCACTGCTCAGGGATGGGTTGGGCATCAGTCAGTGTGTGGTGAGCAACTGGGTTGTGCATCCCTTGTTTCTCTGGGGTTTTCTTTCTCTTTTGGTTGTTCCCCTTTTCATTACCAAGTATTGTTATATTATTATTTTATTTTATTTCCCTGTTCTTACCTCAACTCACAGGTTTTACCTTTTTTAAATCCTGGTTCTTCTCCCCATCCCACCAGGAGAGGGGTGAGCAAGTGGCTGCGTGCTACTTAGTTGTCAGTTGGGGTTAAACCACAACTTGAGCTTGGGTGTGGTGCAAGGGCAGGTAAGGAGGACGGGACTGTGTAATAGGTGATCTAGTTTGGTTTTAGTCTGGAAGTAAAGCCTATGGTAGTTTTTATCTTATCTTTTTATTGCCTAGGATATTGCAGCTGTTACTCTTTAACTTGCGGGAAACTCACAGCAAGCACTTGCCACCATCCAGCAGCAGTTCTGAACAACACTGAGCTTAACGTTGCTAACAGCCTTGCAGAGCTGGAGAATTTAATTGCTGATTCTGCCTGAATCCTGTAATTACTTGGATGGGAAAAACGAGGTGTGTGAGGGAAAGCTCAAAGTGATTAACAAACTGTTAGGGTAAACAGCCTGGCCAGGCTGGTGAAAGGCCCTGCCTAGGGCTGGTCAGTGTCCTGTTGACATGGAGCTGGTCTTTGTTTTGTTCTCTGCACAGAAGGAATCATATTTGTTGATAAAGCAAAGGATTTACTGGCTGGGCTGTTGAGGTCAGACCTCACTGGAACCAAACTGGCCGAAACAGTCCCCTTCAAAGGGCCACGTATACACAGCCCTCTCTGTGCTGCAAGCCAGGCAACCTGAATTTTTCATCACCTACCAGCTCTTGATGCTGGTCCTGGCACAGCACCTCTAGCAGAGAAGATAGCACAGCTCTCCCTCCTTGGAGATATTCACTATGACCCAGAGCAGCTGAAGATTAACTTGGGAGTTCAGCAGGCAGGCACAAACATCTTTGGGAAAGGAGCAGCTGTGTTAGGGCTTGATTCAAGCGTAAAGCCCACAGAAACAAATAGAAAACCTACACTTGCCTGGAATCAGGCACCTTGGACAAGACTCTGAGGACAGAGTACTTGACTTTTGGGGGAATCTTGGTGTTAGGTTCAAAACATACAAAGGGAGAAGTGGGTTTAGCTGAGCTTTGCTCCCCCCGGGAAGGCACTGACCCCCATGTCCTCTTAAAATAGCAACAAGGAACATTAAGAGCTGAGAAAGCTACTGTAAAATATAGACAGGCTTGGGCAGGAGAAAGCAAATGCTTAACTGATTAGAGTAGCATTGAATGTGCTTAACTCCAAAAGGGAAAACAAACTGCATCCTTCCTGGACTGAGCTTAGAGGAAACATTTTCCCAGCTGACATAGAAAAACAGCTACTGTTGAGGCATTACCCACTGCTTCAGCTCTCTTCAATTGGGAAAGACCAACATCACATCTAGGTGGCATGAAAATTGCTTTTAACCACTACGTAAATACACTGCTTGTAGTGCTTCCCACTTGTACCTCCTCTGTTATTCACACTGCTGTGGGAATCCCTGAAGCCTCCCCAAGCCGTTGGCAAACAGGGAACTGAATTAAGAACCTGGCACACAAAACATCCTTGTGCTCTGAGTCCTGTCCTGTCCTGTGGTGAAAACCCTGCAAAGCGCTCAGGGAATCTCAAACTGTTCCCAAAACTCTCCTCCTCCTGTCCACCTGTTATGATCTTCTGATGGATTCCCACAGGGCACCATGTATGTGGATCATTAGCATTTATCTCAAAGAAACAGTTGTGGCTTTCATATAATGCACTCTGAAGTGTGCTGGCACTTTAATAGCTGAATGACACTTTAGCTCGGCTTTTCCTTAGAAGGAAGCGATAAAATAACTAATTTATACTGCCCCGTAATTACACAATGCAAAGTCACTGTGTTTTTTCCTGTTCTATGGGATGGTAAGGCAAAAAAGTTGACTATTGTCGGGTATGTGACGCTGTTCCCCTACTTTTCCTGCTCATGCAGGAAAATGGAGAGCCTTTACTAGAAGTGTTTATCAAGCAGGAACACCGAAACTGCAGGGGAAATTGCCCATCCTGAAACACAGGGAGGCCAGGAGCAGCACAGCTTCTGTGATCTCCAAAATAAAATGAAATGCCAGGTTTTATTGATCACAACTGACCGACAGTTCTTAACCAAATTACATCCAAGTGACATCACCTCTAGCAGCATGCCAGGGGTGAGATCAGCCCAGCCCGGATGGGGAGGCACCCATCTCAGGGGACCAGCACCACCTCGTGCTGCTGCCCAGGCCCCAGGGGTGACAGAAGCAGGTGGGAGCAGTGACACCAGCAGCACTGCACTGGCAGCAGGACTTGGATCACCACTCCCCTGGCTCCTTCAAAGCTCATAAATTGTCATTGCAAAGGTGCAGGAAAAAAAATTTCCTCACTGCTTGTAACAACCTATGCCAGGGAGGTGAAATGGAACAGAGCCAAAGCAGATTTAAGAGTGACTGAAGGAATCAGAAGCTGTGGAGGAAGAAGAAAGCAGCTTGTACATGGTTATTAAGCACTTACAATGTTCTCATGCAGCTCAGATAAGCAAACTGGAATTAAACATTAGAGTAGGCATCAGTGCTGGTGCTGTACTCTGCCTACAAGCACTCAGAAGCCGGGCTGGCTGGAAACAGGTGCATATGAGGAGGAGGAAGAGGTAGGAATGGCTGAAGGCTCTTGCAATAGGAGCACAAAACTGGCACCCGTAGTCCAAAGGTCAGGGCAGTTGAAGTCAAGGCTGCCTTCCGGCAGGGCTCACCTGCGCGAGCAGACTTAATAACGCACAAAAGGGAGAGGGAGGCTCTCAGGCTCCACAGGCAGGGAAGGAGTGAGAAAAGCATGGGGGAAGCAAGCACAGCTCGGGTTCCTTGTGCACAGTGAGCAGCTGCTCCTCTGCATGTGAGAGGCAAGTCCTACCTCTGTTGCCCTGGATCCAGCAGCACACAAAGGGGGTCCTAGAAGTTGCACTGAAATCCCCTACTTTGTTTTTCAGCACATTACCTTTTAGTAGGGATCAAGTCATAACCTGCACGCTCCCAACTCATCATTAGAAACCAGCCCACTGTGCTGCTGATACTCCCTCTCACCTCTCTGGACAGACAAGGGACTTCCCTGTGATTTCTAAGACTCAAGTTTTATTCTCCAGCCAGACAGCAGTGACCGATAAAGTTCTCTATTGCAAGCATACAAAAGGAGATCCATAAAATACTTCTCCATATTCTCTCTTATAAAATTATGATGGGAGCCCATGGATTTGTAGAGGAGTTGTACCCATCCCTGCATCGTGAGGACAAAGAAACAAAGAGACAAGTTTCACAGGCAAGGCAGAGGCATTCTCAGCTTTAAATGAACCCACCCAGGGCAGGTATGTACCATCATCTTGCAGGGAGCAGCTGCCCTCTGCTCTGGGCTATCAGATGTGAGGCAAAGAGAAAAACATTCCTCCTCTTAACTCAGCAGCAGCAGCTCTGCACGTCAGCTCTTGGCTGATAAACACAGGCTCCTAATTCCAGCCACATTCCCTATTTTGAGAATAAGCAGCCCTGCTCCTCAGTGCCCTTTACAACTACTGCTCACGAGAAGTGGGGGAGGGAGGGAAGGGTTACAACACTGTCCATCTCCTAAAATCACCAAACCAGAAGAAACCCTCAGGTTGTACAGGGCAGGGAGATGACCTGCCCTCAGCTCTCCCAGGTAAGGAATGCACAACATGGACATGTCCAGAGGAGAGGTACAGCCACCCTTTTACTTCAGGCTCCAATGAGTTTCTTGAGGAATGCCTCCAGCTGATCCTCATCCTTTATGCCCACAAACTTATCCACAACGTCTCCGTTCTTCATAGCCAGCACAGTTGGCACTGCTGACACCTGGGGGCAAGAGAAACAGGGAGACATAGGTGAGCAGAGGCTATGGGGAGCCCAGCTGCACCAGGTCCCCAAATGGAACTCTACAGAAGCAGCTACAAGGGAGCTGAGCATACACTGCTCTAGGGTAAGATGTCCACTTGCCAAACAAGCCAGCTGAGCTCCATGTTCCTCCTTTCCCTGTGGCCTCATCTCTGCACTGACTTACAGCACACTGCTAAACAAAGGCTGAGCTGCTTTTTGAGTTTAAATTTTTAAAGACTAAACCAAAGCTAATATAAAAACGAGGCAAGGCTGTTCCCACGTCTCCAGTACAAATTCCTCTTCTCCTCCCTTTTTGTTCTGTCATAAGCGAACAAATCCAGGACACCTCTCAGACATGACGACCTTTGGACATTTTGTAGCCACAGCAGCATCAGACTGGATCGATGTTCTCCAGACAAGATTGGAGCTGGAAGATGGTCCCGCCCCATCACTGCACTGGTAGATTTCCTGCTCCATCATATCATGGTAATGACAATCCCCTCCAACCTATCTTTCCTTTTCCCCTCCTGTTTTCAGTGGTTCATCTGGTCATACACCAGTGGCCACTCACTGCAGATCCCTGATGATTAGGTAAGAAGTGAAAAGGTTGTTCTGACCAGAACCAGCAGGCAGCTGTGCTGCTCTGGGCATTGATTTTTTAGATCAGAACAAAGTTTTCTGTGAATTATCCAAGAAAACAGTGTTGGAAATGACAACACTCTCCAGGGACTTGCTCGTTGACTGGTGACAGCAGAGGCCCCAGGGACACTCTAAGGAATCAGAGTTTGGAGAGCTACAGCATTAGAAGATCTGGTCACATTTCTGACCCTACAGCCTCAATGCCCTTATCTCTGCAAAGTCTCCCCCTCAAAACATGTCCTGTCCTTATCTCACCCGTTGACTCTCCTCCAGCTTGCGAGGCCTTCTCATGTGCATTGCAAGCCTTGCTGCCAACAAGAATCTGCAAATCCCTCCTCTGGAAACCCACCAGAGGGCTGGCTTTTCTCCCACTGGGAGCCTAAGATGAAAGGGACATTTTGTCTTCTTCCCTTCCCATCCAGTCCCAGCCAGACTCTGCAGTCTGTTCTTCAGGGCTTTGCAGTCTCATGAAGTGAAGCAGTGGGAGCGCCGGGGCTGCTGCAACGCAGGATCTTCAGCTCCTCCTAGTGCCTGGAGGGAGCACAGCCACAGGGCTCGGACCCAAGCGCTGGCGATGAACATCAACATGTTCCCTTGTGGTTTTAGGGGCGAGAAAGGACAGTACCAGCATGGCACTGGTCACTCCCTTCCTGAGAAGGGCAAGTCTCCACTGAGCCTCCCTCTGCTTTGCACAGTGGGCTAATGCTGAGCAGAGTTGCGCCAGCTCCAACCAAAAGAAACAGCAACAGCAAGCATCAGGCCATTAGGGCCTGGGTGAGGAACAGGCTGATCTTGGAAGCACCACAGATGAGCAGCCAGTGGGCTGTTACTGGGCCCTGCGTGCCGACCAGAGCACCCACGAGCTTCACACAGCCTCAACCCCTCCACCTCTTTCCCTCTTCGTGCTGGTGAGCAAACCCTGAGGAAGAGTGGAAGGTCTGTGCCTGGCGCTGCAGAGCCAGGCAAGACCCAGGGGCATGGAGCAACTTGCCTCTGCTCAGAAAACATGATGCTTTTGTCAGCTTCCTTCCTGCCAGCTGCAGCAAGGGCAGCCCATTAACGGAGCATGCACTTTGTTTTGCTGGTTGAGAAGCAAATGTCATGGGAATTTTAGAATGCAAAGTTGAGGGCATTTTTAAATTTTTTTTTCCCCTTCTTTTTTTGGGTCCCATCTGCACTGAACCTAAACAAACTTTCTTCTTCCCTCAAGAGCATTGCTACATAAAAAGTCAGTCTGCTTTTGATTAGTGCTGACCGTACAGATAAATAAACAAACATGGCCATCCAGGTTATTCCTGGCAAGACCCACACCACGGGAATTCTCTCCCATCTAAAACTGGGGCTTTCATACTAACTTGGATGCCACACAACAGAGCAGAGAGAAGGATTTAACCCAGGCCTACAAATGAGGTGGTAACACAGGATGGAGCTCTGCTGATGAACGACCATCTCTGTACCCAGCAGCTCTTCCGAGCTGCCCACCCACAGTGGCTGGAGAAGGGGCTGCCCTTTCCCAATGGCCACACACAGAGGCAACTGGCCAAGGCAAGAGATGAATCTAAAGAATTTGAAGAGACTGAAGATAAACAAAAGTATTTCTTCTCCCTTTCTGCTCTCGAGGTGAGAGGTCAGGAGCGGGCTGGAGCAGTGGAGACAGGCCCCAACCAGAGATGAAAGGTGTTAGATAAAAGGAGGAGTCCCCAGAGAAAGAACTTTTGTGCTGGGCATAACTGGACAGGGAAGGGCACTGGGGACATTACTAGTGGCAGGAAATACATCCGTGCTTCATGCTAAGCCAGGATGGCTGGGAGCCAAGGGCAGACGGCCACTTGTGCAGAGGAATGCACTAACATTCCTTGGCTCTTCCAGGGGGTCTCCCCCTCATCCTGCCTCCCCCTGTGCCAAGGAGGCTGCTGACTAGGACATTGTGCAATCAGGCAGCAAGATGGGGGCTGTGTGTGTGCGTGAGCAAGGGAATAAACATGGATGGAAGGAGACTTCCTGGCAGCTAGTGAAGGAGTTGTGGGGGTGGCATGGACACTGAAACCCCCAAAACAAAACTTTCTCAGCCTGCAGACATCTGATCCCCAATGGAATGGCCTTAAATCGAATGTTTGCTGATCCCTTCTAAATACCACCTTTGGTTTTCCTGATCTCTCCCAAACACTATCTTTGGTCCCTCTTTGATCTTGACTTGGTGCCTTCCCATCAGCCCTTGCGCTCACATCTTTTTAACTGGCAACTTCACAGAAGATAAAGCAAAACCAAGCACATGCTCAGCACATGAACCAAACTTCTGCCTTGAAAAGGATGCCCCAAACTAGGAAGATCAAAGCAAAAATTTCTCCTTTACCCCTACCTGTTTGCAGCTATCCTACTCAGACACTACCCAGGGATGGGGTTTTAGCCATGGGGATAATGGCCCAGTCAAGATATACACATCACCCTGAAAGCAGAGGAGGCAGTGATAATCCCCATGCCCTCTTACAACACAAAATCTTCATCATGTTTGTACATAAGGCTCCAGAATGAACTGCTAGAAGCTGACCCTTCCCTGCAGCCTCAATCCTGCCTGCCCCTCTCCCCCAAGGCTGCCAGACAGGCAGACCCTGCACACAAACACGTGCACACAGCGAACAGTGCAGCTGCTCACTCACCACCCCGTGGGAGAGCACATGCAGTGTGTCGTTAAACCTGCACAACTTGTGACTTTTAGCCTCTTTTCACAGACCTTTCTTCATATGCACACACCCTGCTTGCCATTTTCCACTCATCTGAGATTATCCTCTTGTAATCCCAGCTAATTTGATCTACTGGAAGGCTTGGAACAATACAAGACTTGAGCTAATAATCTCTATGCTCTTCTTTGTATGGCTGCTACCACAGCCTTGCCTGCACCTGTTAGCATTTACACACTTTTTGACCACAACTAAAAACACGTCACCCTCTTCAACTCCTCACCAGGACCCTTCTGCTATGCAGCCTATGCCAGCTCCGCTCAGGAGCCAGCAGCCAGCTTCCTTGGCCTGGGGAGTATCTGCCAGCACATGTCCACCACCAAGAACACCAGAGGCTCTTGCAGCTCCCACGGGCTGAGCACAAGTCATGACTGTGGGCACCAGCTGTGTGGACACGCCACCACAGCACAGGCAGAAATGTCTCCCTCGGGAAAGAGTGGGAGGGAACAAGCTGTTTCCACTTCCGTCTCCTTCTGGCTTGGCAGGGTGTGGGAATGGCATACAGCGTCTTCTCCAGGCTCAACAAAACGACAGCTTGCTCGGGAGATGGTTCACACTTTGCAGGGCAGCTTGAGGAGCTTCCTGAGCTAGCTTCCACCCTGGAAGCAGGACTTCATCTGCAGAGGGGGAGCAGATCCATCTGCGTGACACGCAAGTGAAAATTAAGCGCTTTCTTCCCTGTAAAACACAACAGCAGGATGCCCCGACTCCACAGAGTTGTTGTTTACAAGGAGAGAAAACAGAAGCGAGCGCAGTCGTCAGAGGAGCTTTTGTATTTTTTAAACTGCCTAATCACAGGAAAAAAATAACTAAATCACGGAAACGAAAAGCCTTCTCCAGTTGTTCTGCTCCTTCCTGGGAGAGAGGCAGCACAGGGAACACATCCAGCAGTGGTGTTAACACACTAGTGTAAGCACCAAGGTCCCTCCTGTCAAGAGCAGGATGCCTACTCCTGTTGTTTATGTGTGTTTCCTGACCTGGCTTTTACCTGTCCAAACAAAACGCACAGTGTCTCCTTGTGCTGCAGCTTAAGGATAGGACGTTATGACCCAGCTAGAGATCCTGAACAAGGAAGGGAAACAGAGGATGGACCAGTGGCACAAAGAACCACCTTCAGTAACAGAGCAGACTGGGGCTTGTTACTTCTTGCCCTGCACTTGAGCAGCCCAGGCTCGCAGCGAAACGCCGCATGAGCTTCAGGCTCCTCAAGGCCAGGCAAGTGACAGATGCCTGCAAGGCCTAGAGGACACCTCTGTGCAGAATTAGAGGTGGGAATGCTGAGCATGACCAGCAGAGCTGGGAGAGCCAAGCAGCAAAATCCACCTACTAACAAGCAACCCAGTGGATCAGGAACCAGTAGGCACTGAGCTTCCCCTCCCCTCCAGTGCCACTGCTGTGCAGGCACACCTTTCCCCAGGGAGTGACCTTCTTGGCACTGCCAGCCAAAGAAAGTCTGTGCTCTTCCACCTCCTACCTCGTACTCGATAGCAAGGTCTGTGTGATCATCAATGTCCACCTTGGCCATCACCACCTTCCCCTCCTGCTTGGCCACCATCTTCTCTAACCTGGGGCCCAGGATCTTGCAGGGACCACACCACCTGATGGAGCAAGAAAAGAGAGGGGACATTAGAGGAGGCAAGGACAGCAACAGCCATGGAGGATGTGCTGGTATGCCAGTGCTGCTCCATTCAGGAACCAGCCTGGAAACAACATTCCTGAACCAAGGCTTTGAAAAACACTCCTCTCACAAAGGAGCTGCCACAGGCGTTAAGGAAGTTTCATGTCCAACCTCCCAGAAGCCACTCTGGCACTCACACTCGAATCACCTGAGCTGGGACCGAGGCCCCTTCACAGCTACACACCCCACACTCACACTCAGACCAGGTTTCCTTGCTAGCTCGTCCCCAGGTTTCCCATAGCAGAGTCTCAGACATCCCCATCCTTAAAATAATAATCTTTGTGCAATAACAAAGTAACAGCTGGAGCTGGTGCCTTTGAGGAGGAACCCTGAACAAAGGAATCCTTGGGCTTTTATCCCCTTACAGTCTAAGCCCAGGATAGTCAGCTCCTGCTGTGTCTCTGAGTGTCAGATCACCTGGCTGGGCCACATGTCCCCAGGCCATTTGTTGTGCAAAGGGTCAGCAGTTCACAGCCTCTTGCCTGGGGCTCCCACACAGAGCTCAGCCTGCAGCTCCCCTGCAACTGCACCCCAGAGATACCTGCACTGAATGTATTCCTCAACAAAGGGTTTTTTCTGTGTGTGTGGTGGAGGGGCTGAGTGGAAGAAGAGGTCACCACGGAGCATTTGCCGTGCTTTGGATGTCGTGTCCGATCACCCCGCAGTCTGCTCTGCCAGCCTTGCTGGTTCTCCTGCCCCTCTTCTTGTTCATCCCCATCGAGCTTTACCTCCACGTGCAGAGCTGTGGTCCTGCTGCCCTACAGCAAGTGCTGCTGCCGAGCACTGGGCTTGCAGACCACACCCAAATCAGTTTATGCCAATCACCAAATCACAGATTTCCCCTGAACGCTCCCTGCAGGGTTTACAGAGACCCCCTTTAGCTGGAAAGCTCACATAGGCATTGCATCTGTTCAAAGGGGGACCACCTAAGCCAGACCCAGGTGCAGTAGTAGCAGGCTTTGTGAGGCCCTGGACACTCCCTGCATGCTCTAACTGCATCAGTTAGGATGCTATGAACTTACACACTTCAAGTAAAACATGAGTTAAAGATCTAAGTACCCTTTTCTTTTAGAATTGAAGCTTTGGTGGACTTTGCTCCTCCTCAGCCCCTCTCTCTAACAAGTTTCAGGCCTTCAGTTATTTGTCCTCTCCTCCCTGGATGATGTCAACCAAAGTTCAACTTTGGGTTGCCAGTTTGGTCTGTTTAGAGCAGAAGTTTTTGGGCTGCTTCATACTCTGTTTGCCCTCAGTCAGCCACAACAGGCTCATGTGACAGCACTGCAGGACTACGAAAACACATGAGAAAACAAAGATAATCAGTGTCGTTAACACAGCAGGTAACACCTAGGAATATTTTTACTGGCAAGAGGATGACAACATTTTCGTTGATGACAAATGCTGCTGTTGGTGTCACAGGGCTGTTATTAACACAAAGGCACTTGCTGTTGAGAGCCCCAAGAGCGTGCAGACTTAGGAAACCTGGAAAGATACAACGTGGTAGTGCTAAGGCAGAGCAAGTGCAGAGCTCCTCCATGGCTGTTAACAATATTTAATGCTTCTAAGAGGACATTTCATCCCCAAAGCTAAATAGGGGAGAGATCAGAGTTTTTTTCCTGAGGTATCTTTTGCAGGATGATGCAACGCTGGGGGTGGGATGACACCTGAGCACTTGGGAGGTGCAGCAACGGCACCCTGGGGAAAGCCTTCCCGGCACTGCTGTTTGACACCGCTGCAGGGCATAGCTGTGAGCGAACTCTTTATGGACTGAGCTCCATGGGCAGAATCACCTTGTAACACCAGACCCCACAGCCTGAGAAGCCCTCGGGCCTGCTCCTCCCTGGTGTGCTCGGAGTGCCACCGTGCCAGGAGAGTCAGGGCACACCTGCACATGTGACGGCAGAGGGGGAGGAACTTACTGTGCATGGAAATCCACCACCACGGGTTTGGGGCTGTTCACCACCCGGTCCTGGAAGTCGCTGCCATCCTGCACATTGAAGGTGCTCCTGCGGCCCGCCGAGGTGCCAAAGGCCCTGCCGGGGGGTGCCGGGGGACCCCGCGGGGTGAGGGACAGCAGCCGCCGCAGCGCCAGCCTCTGGGCCATCTGTGGAGACAGCGGGAGCTTCGTGGGCTGGGGGGCACCCCACGGCTGGTCCCACTGCGGCAGCGCCCCGAGCCGAGAGCGCTCAGCAGGGCAGCCCCCAGGGAAGGAGGTGCTCGGGAGAGACACTGATGGAAGATCACACGGGAGGGCTCCCCGCCCCCGTGCCCAGCCCGACACCTCCTGCAGCTCCGGCACCATGGCCACGGGGCCTCCAGGCGCAGGGCCCCGCTTCTCTGAGTCCCCCCCTCGGCCCGCGCCCTCCCACCCCCCGGGGCAGCCCCCGCACGGCGGGGCTCCTCCAGCCGGAGCATCCCGGCAGCTCCCGCAGTGACAGGGCCCCGGGACCCCCCGCCCAGTGGCGGAGGACAGTCCCAGCCGCGGGGGCCCCGCCACCCCTCCTGGCCCTGAAGACAGGCCGCTCCATCCCGGAATCCCCGGTCCCCCCCGGTCCCCCCGCACCTTCCCGGCCAGGAGGTGACCCGCGCCCAGCCGCACTTCCGCCCGCCGCCCCGCCCACCTGGCGCTCATTGGCCGCAGCCGCCGGATGGCTGCGAAGGACGGCACCACCGCCCTCTCACCCGATTGGCCACCGCCCCAAGGGCCGGTCACCTCTGATTGGCCGCCATGCCCGTCCTTCAAGGCGCTTCGCCCCTGCGGGGGCCGGCGGAGCAAACCCCGAGCGCTGATTGGCGGCGGAGCCCTCCAATGGGCGCCGCCCTCCGCACGTGCCCCATTCCCGCTCCCGTTCCCGCTCCCGCTCCTGCTCCCGGTCCCGTTCCCGGTCCTCCGCGGGGGCACCGGCCGGCGGCTCTCTTCGGGTTGGAGCTGGGCAAAGGACTCTCCTTGCAGTGCACAGCCCTGCCACCCCCCAGACTGCCATTAACTCCCCTCCAGAACACACCCTGCACCCGCGGGGGACACGAACCAGCATTCCTAACCACGACGGTGCCCGATGGAAAACAATTCAGAGCCAACGCTTCACCCCCTGCCACCTCCAGCACTGCGGGGAGCCCAACCAGAACAAGGCTGAGAGGGCAGCACTCATTCGGCAGCACCCAAAGCACGAAGACTTGGATCCTGGCTCCCCAGGTCCAACTGGAAGCAAGTGCCAGCAAAACCGCTGGGGTTTGAGTCACCAGATCCAACCCCGGGAGACATGCAGAGCATGCTGGAAGAGTTGGTAGGTGCTGGTTTTTTAGACTGTCACTTTTCTAAAGGAAATCACAATGTAAGGCAACATGTACACTGTGAGTGTAGAGATTCACGTTCTCCTGTGGGAATTTGAGGATGGAAGAGGAAACGGCTGGAGAATGTGCATGCGTGTAGGTACAACAGGGATGTACTCTGTGTCAGCACACATAGGGAACAAATGAAACCGGCTCTTGGGGACAGCTGGTCAACCCGATTCAGCCCTTATCTTCCCCTGGACAATTCCAAATTAAAAAGCCCATGGTGCCAAGAGGACCATGGTAGTAGTAGCAAGTAGTAGCATCACCCAGACAACTACAGGCCACGAGAGCCATTCCCAGTCTGGCCTTGGAGCTGGGGCAATGGGATGTAAAGCCCATAGAAGGATGCTGATTGATGCCACTGAGGTGATTGTTTCTCCTCCCCAGCTGCACATGAACAGGCGAGATCTTCCAGAAGCAGCAGCATTGCTAGCACAGCTCAGTACTCCCAAAGAGAGCAAGAACTCCTTCGTAATTTCCTTCCCCTCTTCTGCTCCCCAGCCTCTCCAAGAAACTGGGGTTTTACAGAAACAGTAAAGGATTCAAAGGATTGGGAGAGCTTAGGTATGTGTAAGGTACAGCCCCCTCCAGTCTGGAAGCACAAGTGTATATTTTTTGAGAAGCTAAGTTGTTGGAAAACACGTGTGGAGGTAAACGCCTGTTCCCTCTCACCCCTCCTCTATTTCCTAGAAGTCACAGGTCATAAAGTCAAGCTCAAAACTGCTCTTGCTTTTCAACTCCAGGATCATGGAAGGAGCCCACAAGGAGGAGACAGGCAAGTGTATGTGGCTGACAGGGGGAGCAGTAAAGTGCAGACAGCCTCCCAGTCACTCCCTGTAGGATCTCAAGGTGACTGGAAGGGAATAAACTAGAAGGAACATTTTAACAACATCAAACTTTCTTGATGGGACATAGTGCAAACAGCAGAAATATTGGTCATGCTTCATAAAAGACAAAGGGCTACCCTTCCAGGCTGCCTGGTGTGGGAGAAGAAAAACATGAGGACAGTGGAGCTGAACTCATTGTCAGTCTCTGTGTCCCAGGCATTCCAGGCAAGCTGCCCAACCACTGTGGAGAGGGAAGGGTCCCTTGTAGCGCTCTCTGGAAAACGATAAATTATCTGACCTATATGATAACTAAAAAACACCCCTCCCCCTGAAGCTACACAACTGCCCTAACTCAAATGCAAGAAAAATACTGGAAGTTTGCCCGGAGTACCCCTTCAGGACCCGATGCAGGAACAAATCTTCAAGTATACACAGGGTACAGCATCCAGAGACCAGAGAGCCTGCACCAGGCTCCACAGGGTGCAAGCAGGTCACCTCCAAAGGGGAGTGTGACACTTTAAGTTTCCCAGGTGTTCCTGCACTCTCTTCTGTGACCTCTGTACGTCGCTGCAGTTACTGGTCAGTCAGATAAAAACAAACACCACCTTCAGGCAACTCTGAGCTCTGCAAGGACAACGCAGGAGCCTCAGCATCACCGGATTTTGGCCCATTGCTCATCCTCTGAAAGATGTTGGTCCTCTTTGTAACAGCAAGATCTGAGCAGGTCTTTGGCAACTCAGGATTAGGGGAAGGCAGGGGGATGGAAAAAGGGCATAGGAAAAGGACAGAATCCTGCTGTGGATCTCTGTTACAGTACTGTCACAACAGCACCTATAAGTTTCAGTGCAGAGCAAGGAAGGTTAAAGCTCATCCTTGGCATTGACAAGATGCTGCAGCGGACGAACTGGAATCACTTGATCTCTCAGCAACTGGTCCCTTGACCTGTCGTGGCTGTCAGGGGGTCTGTCATCAGGAAAGTCTGTGAGGGTGTAATCTTGCAGCAGTCCAGCTTGCATCGCGTGGCGCCGGAGCCCCTCGCTGCCCATGAGCCCCTGCATCCTCACGTATCCCTGCTGGCAGAAGGGGGGCAGCTTCTGACGGGTGAAGGCAAACAGGAAACAGGACTCTGCAGGGGAAAGGATCAAAAATCAGACTCAGCAGAGATACCCTGTAGGGAAAAATTCCCATAAACTATCAAGGACTCATTCAAAACAAAAGGCAGAGAGGATGAGGGAAGATGACGGGAGTTTCCCACCCTGGGTGGCAGCACAGTAATCGAGTTAGTTCCGCAGAGCTCAGGAGGTGCAGAGAGGGATCTCCAGTCTGCACTCTGAGAGAAAAAGGATCTGGATTTGAGGTTGTGTCCATCTGGCATCTTCTTTGTACCACAGGATTGCTTCCCTCTGTGTGCCATGTGGGCTTCCTGCAGGAGGTTCCCAGGCCAGTCTTCAGACCAGGAAGGAAGGCAGCAGAGGCTGTCTCCAGCTCTCACACCACAGCACTCCCATTTCCCATGGGAAAGCAATCCCATCATCAGTACATAAGATCTAGTACCCGATGGTACAAAGAAATGATCAGATAATGGAGAAGGAAAGCTGCAGCTAGAAAAAGGATTGAACCCAACCTCATATACCTTTCCCTAAATCCTGGCACGCCTTTCTAATGGAGAGCAAGAGCAAAAGCTCTTTGGGAACGTACACATACAGAATGGCACTTTTTACTGTCTGGGATTGTGTTGAGGAGGTGTGACTTGTTGAGGAGGATGGTGAGACAAGCAACTCACCACAGAAAGATCTCAGCTATCTGCAGAAGAGATCCTTCCTGTCGCTTGTCCCTCACATTCCTCCTCCTCCTCCTCCTGCCACCTCAACCCTGCGTTCAAATTACCTGCAAAGAAACTGCGCAGGTCGGTGCTGAGGCAGTTCTCCAAGAAGCGCCTCAGTGGCAGGATGTGAGCATTTGGGGCTGTCCAGTCCGTCAGAAAGTCCTCCACAATGTGATGAATGGCATCTGGATGAGGGAGAGGCCACTCTGGGGGCCGGAGTTTCATCTCACGCTCTGCCAAGAGAACATTAAGGGAGTCTCTTAGAAGCAAAATGGCATTAAAAAGAGCTTGGGGAATGGAAAGCAGCTGTGACAGCTGTTTCAGCTTTTGTCCTGACCTTTTAATCCCTACCTTACTTTCATTTGCAATCCCCTCTGCTAGCTCTGTCCTCAACAGCCCTGCCACTGCACAGCTGCCCTCTGTCCCTGCTTGCAGCATTCCTGTCATTTCACTCCTGTTCCCCCTGGGCAGGGACTGCCAGATGGGCTAAGCTGTGTTTAATGCTGCTACACATCATGCTTATTTCTGTGCAAGGCAGGCTGGACCCTGACCTTAGGTTTCTGGAGATGAAGACTCAACACACTTATTTCCCAAGGAAATCTATTCTGAGTGTGTTTGCTTGCTGGATATAACACTCCTCTTCAAACCCTTGCCTTTGGCTGCCTCTGTGGCTGTGTGACCTTTCAGACCCCGGCCGGCCACACAGAGTAGCTTTCTTTTGGCAGCAACACTGCCAAACAACAACAGCCCAGCCTCATCTGCCAGGCTCTGCAAAATACACACAGGGTGCCAGCCAAAGGGAAGCAGTGTTCTTTCTGGGAATGGGGAGACTTCCAGCATGCCTGTTTGTTCCTATTTTCAAGTGTGAGGTTTCTGGTACCACCCTGCTACCCCCTGTACTGACCGATGGAAACTTCTTGCCAACCGTCAGCTTCTTTTTCAGCTCACACAGTGGTGGGCGGGTGTCTCAGAGGATGGACATGAGGGAAATGGAGAAGGGGGAACAATGCCTTCAGGTCCCACCCCTCCTCTGGCTCTACTATCTTCATCCCTGTCTATTTTGATTCTATCACATAGCTAGCGGGAAAACTCACCTGTTGGAAGGCGTTTGTAATAGTAAATAACAGGGTGTAGAAAGTTGGACTGCCAGGCATGCTGTGCCTCTCCCACAGCACGGTTGTAGTAGAAGACATCCTTGTCAGCCCCAGAGAAATTCCTCCCATACTCCATGATGATCACAAAGAGCCCATTGGAAGCCTTTCTCCCAGTCTGCATTTCCAGTTCGGCCAGGACTCCAGTGGGGTACTCTTCCAGGTATTCAAATGCTGTGGCATTCCTGTGAATTACAACCACACCATCAGACAAAGCCAGCTGGGATCCAACCCACCCTCAGCTGGGTGTGGATAAGGCTAAAAAGCCATCAGATAGTAATTTTTTTTTTCTGGTCATTACAGATCTGGGCTGGACTTGATGCAGAGCTTATGAAGGCTGCAGATACTGTTACAAGACTCCATTATTTTCCTGGATTATGAGACTCCTCTTTACATTAGCACTGCTCAAGAAAACTCTTTTCCTGGGGACAGTAAAAGAGTACTCCATCACTGAGCCTGGAAGGAAGGTCTGGACCA